CTCCTCATAAACAGCATGAACTAAATTTGTACAATTTTCACTCATCATTTCATTATCATTGCAGAATGGCAATATTTGGTTACTAATAATACCAATTTATGTGACAAAACGGAATATAATTTTATATGCATAATTTAATTGGAATTGAACTAGTATAATTTAAAATGATTCTGCGAGGCGAGGAAATGAAATTCTTTGGTTAATTAAATGTTTTGTGTAATAACAAACTGGCGCCCTTTCTAAATTTTTCTCTTTAATTTCGGAATGTGTTACGTTTCTTAATGCGATATAACACTAGGCTAGACTACATAAATACAAAGATCGCTATTTTAGAGAGTTTAATATGACGTAATCCATCGCATCGGGTCGGATCGGACGTGATCCATTAAGGCTTTTACTCTATCGCCGGGTCTTCATTGAACGCCATGGAACATCTTTCAAACATTCGAGATAAATGTCGGTGTAATATCTACATAACGGAGCATGACCTACGAGCAATTTATCTCTTCCGTTCTTCTCCAGTGCACAAAGTTATGTAGAGTAGTTACTCACACGAGAACGTGACCAGACCATAGATGTTTTCTGTGGCTTGTGAGATGAAAAGACTATCACGCACCTTGACTAAACAAAAACGACACCTACGGTGGGGCACTTAAAGATACTTATGGAATATATTGATGATGGCGAATACTCATGTTGATTTTCCTTCTTGAACGTTTGTGTTGTCAATGTGAATATATGCAATCCAAAATTAAGAATAGTGAATTAAAGTGCACACGATACAACATTCAAGATACTATACTGAGATGGGAAAGAACGTTCGATTGATTTATGTAACAGGACACATTAACGTCTAACTACACTAGTCACGTTAGTGTAGTGAATGTTTTCCAGGAAGGTACCGGCAATTCCTTTCCTAGTGGATGGTCAGATCCAGCGTCAACTTACACATTGAATTATGGGGGATTTTCCCTTCTGCGGGTACCTTCTCCATTGGGACAGCCACCAGCGGAGACAATCTCAAAGTTCCAGATAGAACTTCTGCTATGTATGGTAGTGTTATGCACGTAAATGTGTGGTTGTATTTCTTGGACGAGAAAGACGAAGGAAAGATCGTACGAGGGTCGTGACTCGTTCGTTAGAGTACTGCTTCGTATTCGCCTGGTATTGGTAGGAAAAAACACAAAAAAACTACCAATCAAAGAAACCAGTCTCTAGGATTTTCCTTCAGAGAGCAGCAGAATTCGTCCCAAATTAAATATTAAATAGCAAGTGACAAAAAGTCCTATGTCGTCGGGACCTAGACCGCCCAGTGAGACGCTACACCTCCCTGTGAGAGTGACTGCAAAGACAGAAGCAAGACTGGCCCGAGATAAACTCGGCCGGTAATACGTTTAAGGAAACAACAAATAAAAATACTCAAAATCACCGTTTATTTCACGTTGATAGCGCGAAATTTCTCTGTTCATTATCTTGCTGGTAATTACATCCGCTAAGCACCATAAGCGAGCTTAGTCACTTTAAGTCTACTATTTTCATTGAGCCATAAACTAGAGACTATCTCAAGAGGTCCTCGTAATCAAAATTAATGGGTTTGCGTGGAAATCAAGTAATGGGTAATGATACAAACCCCCTGAAACTCACTCGCTGGGCACTACGGAACAGTTATTGCTGCACCACAAATAAAGTTATGTGACGTAACAGAGTATCCACTTAGTATTTTGATTAATTGACTATTTAAGTAGGTGTTTACTACTACAAAATATATTTGTGTTAGCACAGTTACGAATTTTCTAATAAAGATAAATTTCTTTAACTATTTTCAATTATATTTTTCTTTAATGCTGATAGCTCTGTGAATTTAATCTGGTTTTTATTTTATTAAGCATTTCGTCACATAACCGCACTAAAATGTAGCACTGTATGCAAAACCTACTAACAAACAAGAACATGTAAGATGTTTACGCAAAAGTTTAATGGTCACCCAGAAAACAATTTCTACAAGGAAATGTTATTCTCATTATTTTTTCAGCACTGTTCCTAACTCGAGCGCAACTAAGAACCTGTATTCGGCAGTGTGATTCACGCGCATTGCTACTATGCTGCGCCAGTGTGTGACCTCTGTTGTTATCGCGGCTCTTATTGCAATTCTTCGGTGCGCCTTTCTAAGATTATACGCCGCCCAAGTGCATTTTGCAACTTGCATAAGGTTCACGCTTATCACTTCAGCAATGACTGTCAAGGCTCGCCACTCGCGATACATACAACAGAAAAATAATGCTAAACAATTCATCGCCGCTTATCAGATACCGTAAAATATCGCGTAATTTCCAAACGCTTTAAAGTTTGCACGCGCCTTAAAGCAAATTGGATGTCGGATGTATGCTTCTTGAAAAATGTACTGACGTGAGTTTACTTCAAGTGTTTCGACATGAGCAATTGCTACAATTGGGTACCTCCTATTATGGAATGGGGAATTTTAAAATATTTGGTGACATCGTTGATTGTGGTAATCACAACCCATTGTTTTATGTTTGGCACGGGTACTTTACCAATACGCGTGCATCACTCTGTGAAGTCAGCGTGCGTGCCACCATTGAAATATCTCATGTTCATACAACGTACGGATAGCTCCTCCCGGAGTAGTTATATCACGTCCTGAGCTATAATATCCACACTAAACCGTACACATATCAATGAATATATGTCTTTCCTAAATTCCGAGTACTTGTTGTCAGCAAAGCATTATCGTCACTGCCACAGAAAAGCAAACAGAGTGTATGTGAAATTCTATGATGATAACGCCGCCCATTAATGCGTCTCCATTTACTCTTCAGCATAAACGTTTCACTTTAAAAGCAAGACGCACATACAGCGCAACATAGGTCGCATACAACTATACAATGCGTACGTAAAGTTATACAATGTGATTGCCTTCTGTTTTGCGACAGACGCCTATGCCCGGCATCTACTAGCTCCTCTTCTGTCCCGAAATTTGCAAGTGCACACGACGCCCAACTTCGAACGTCCTTTCACGTTGTTTGCTGGCATTTGCCCGAAGCAAGCAGCTGCCGGGTGGACAATTGGCCAACAGGCTGTTCTTCTCCAAATGGATCTTTAACATTTCATCTTAGTTCACACAATGTGATTCGGCAGCATGAAGTGTACACGCTGAAGGCATCTGGTTCAAGATTGATTGATTGGTTGATTGATTGATATATTTATGTATGTATGTATGTATTTATTTATTTATTTATTTATTTACGTCAAAAACAGTCAAAAAGTGTATGACGTGCTATGGAGAGAAGTTAATTTGAAGTTACATAAGTTCCTGTTATTTTACTACTGATCTATTATTAGTTATTAACTAAACGGTTTATAAACACGTGGCTCACAGAAATATTATGTTTCTCTAGGTCGTCAACAGGTAGAACACATAATAATAGATAAACTTTATTGACGAAGATATTGCACTACTTGTATTTTTTCATAAATCACCATCAAAATAGGGGCATTTGTCACTTGGTAGGATTAAAATTTATATGTGTTGTTGGTGCTCGTATTTTGGGATAGATACCCATGTTTGATAGCCTTTCTCAACTGTGGGTTGGTGCAATACCAAAAATGTTGATAGACAGAAATTGCTTGAAGAGTAACAAAAATGAAAAATGTTGGTAGCGAGACCCGAATTATAAACACGGCTGGACACACAGCTCGCAACAAAACTTCTGTACTTTCAAAAACATATATTTGACCACCCACCCACTTACTTTCTCAATGCGCTTCGCAGGTTGTGAAGATTTGCATATCACAATTTTTTGTTGACCAGGAAGATGGCACAGATAACAGCTGTTGCAGCGCTTTTGAGTAGGCGTTTCCTGGAGTTTGAGTTATGATGGGGAAGAGTTTTCGAATACAGGAAGATACCTAGTAGATAGAATTAGCTGTTCTATAGAGGAGAATTCTAGAGGCGGGCTACCCTAATATCAGGGGTTTTCCTTTCAGGCTAATGCTGGAACAGTATCTTAAGAAACGGGCTAAGATCAGCGCGCGATCTTTCTTATTCTTGTCCTCTCGTCTCCCCTACATTGTATACACTTGCATGCACTATAGTTCTACACATATCGAGAGATCAGACGGGAGCATAGAGTGTATCGCCGTTGGGGCAGTGCCCCAGCTGAGTAGACAACTGAATGGAGAAACCCAGCAAACCGACGTTTACATCAGCGCCGGTGCCCCCGTTCAAGTAAGGAGGGAACCCCGTCACTTGCCGAGATATGACCGCACTGCGTTTAAGAACTAATAATAGTCTCATAAACAGGAAACAAACAAATTAACCAATCAAAAAAATCAAAATTTAGAAAGAAATGTTGCGAGATTTATGAAATTTTTGGCATTGGTAAAGTAATTAAGAGACGTAATTTTGTCATTTACGGTTAATTCAGCATTAACACAGAAACACACTGCAGATAACCACAAAGCGGACGAAAAAGCAGTATGCTGAATTAAACGTTTATGGTAAAACTACGTCTTGTAATTACTTTGACTATTCCACTCGTGAAATTAAAACCAATAGTGTGTAACTATACATACAAACTGTCCCAATCAGGACGGTGTATCTCAAAATGTGGACGAACAATAAATACGTACTACAACATAACTTCTGATTTTGACATACTCTTTCCCATTTTGGAACTCTGTTGGACATAATTCTCTCGTGAACAGTCCTATTAAATTTTCTAATAAATTCCCTCCTCGCGAGACGGGAATTTATCGACAATTTCCAAAGCGCTCATGATGTTACCTATGACAAACCAAAATTGCCTAGTCTACAATCACTCTATCGTCAAATCTCATCCCCGAAATCTCCGAAATACACCTCTCCCATCTCCGAAATACACCGCGACCTTTGGCGCACCGCGTCTTCCGGGAGCCTTAGCGTGCGCTGCCTCTCCGCGCAGCCGCCGGGGCCTCCGGCGCAGGGGGCAGGCAGCGCCGACCTGTTGAGCGGGGATCGAGGCCTGGCGGCGGCGGCGGCGGCGGCGGCGGCGGCCCGGGCGAGCGCTCCGCTCCACTCCGCAGGATGCGCATCCGCTGAGTTATTGACCCGGCGCTAGTGGTGCACGACGGCGAAGGCGGAGGCGGAGGCGGTGACGCCGCAGCGGAGGACGCACCCCGTGCGAGTCCTTTTTTGAATTGAATTGAATTTGCCTTATTTTACGTGGCGAGACTCGGGCCATCAGGCCCGCTCTTTCGTCTGACCACGCAAATTTCGCTACGCTCCTTTCACCAACTAGGAGAGAAAGGAGGTATTTCTTGGGCGAGAATCAGGCGATTTGAATTTAGCTCAGAGGCGTCACTTAGGCTTGAGGATCTTTTACATGCAAGTAAATCTACAAACATGGGACAGCCGGCTTTACTTCCCCTCCGAAGGAAGGCGTACGAACGATTTTTTCGCCTTTTCGCCCCACGGCTTCGGTCGGGTTTGAACCCGCCAACTTGGGTACAACAGTCCAGTACGCTAACCGTTACACCATCGCCGCCTCCTTCCACCGTAGGCCCGGAGCACGCGGGGCGGAGCGGACGTCTGCTGTTCGTGCGAGAGGGAATTTTACCCTTGTATAAATCACGACCACTGATGAAGAATAAAATTTGTTCACGGGATTTATCAGTAGCGGTTAAGAAACAATTAGTTATGCCAACGCTTCAAAATATTTAATTTATTTATCAGGGCTTACTAATACATACTAAGGTCACGCCTCACTTCCATCCACCACACCATTCCTTTTTTTCTTCATTTGTTTCCATTTATTTTTTTATTTGCGGTTCGGACCGTGGCCCAATTCAAACTTGTCGCGCAATGTACCCACGTGCTTTAGCAACACTATGTGAAGTAGGGTGGATGGAAATAAGAGTATTTTGCTTATCTCATAGGGTATTTTGCCGGAACATTGTCATTGGTCGTGGTTTTGTACCCGTGTATTTGGCGCAGGCTTCCTTTGAAGCTTCCCCCCAACGCGGGTCTAGGGGATCTTCTTCCAGCGGGCGCGCCCCCGTAGGCGTCCCCTTAAACGCCTGGGTGTGATTCTCACTTCCTCGGTCAGAATCCGAGATTGTAGTTGGGAGAACGTGAAATAGCAGTAGGCCGGAAAATTATCGGAATTATTTAATTTTGTCGGGCACCTGCCAGGGTTCTTTTACATGTCACAAGCGTGGCATTGGCACTGTGACATTTCCCGACCTTCGCAAATCCACGCGCCTCAGCCGCAAACGAACTCACGCACTGGGGGTTCAGAGATTAATAACTCGGCCACCGCCCACAGAGGCGCGCAATTGTGACGTTAGTGGTGTGCGATATTACTTTTTTCCCATCATCCGCAAGTGGTAGGTTGGATGGCTAATGGTAATGTTTAGTAAGTTTTGCAATGAAAAGTCAGGAAACTTGATTTTATTTTGCCTATTAACTTCCTAAAGACATTAATTGATACAACCTTGATCCTTTTTATATTCTTGAGTTTCACTACAGTTACAGATCAAACTTCTGAGGGTGAGCGCATATACTTGATGTAACTGAGTGGATATAAAGTGCTAGTGTTACTGCGAGCTCGGGACCTTTGAACTACTACAGGTGTCAACCTAATTAAATCACAAGCCACTTGGTAAGATTTACGCGGCATTCATTACATTAATAAATTTTCTTAAAATAATTTTTGAAGAGAGGATTCAGGAATAAGGAAAGAATAATTAACCCGAGAGTGCCCGCAATAAATAGAATCACGTCTGTACCCCTAAAGTATTTGTCAGATTTACTAGCAACTTTTGTAGATGAGAATGATCGAAAGCTTTATTTACTGAATTACGTTTTTCATTTAGTTTGTGCATGTCCCATAATGCAATTGTTAATGAATCCTCCACTGCAAAAACCTTGTCTGAATACGTATGGTGAGAAAAGTGTCAAACTACACGCGACAATCAGTAAATATCTTATTATTTGATTAAATAATATTAAATACAGTTTACAGAAATGATTTTCGAATATTTTAAACAAACATATATTTTACATTTTTAACAAAAACATTTAAAAAGTCGTCATCTTTTTTCCATTTTGCAAAGTTCGCATATTTTTCATTTCCATACGGACGTCTTCTCCAAATCTTTCTCTTTGAAAAGAAATTGTGACAGTTGATCCTAGATAAGACAAATGATTACATTTTCAGAATATGAAGTTGTCATAGACCCGACTGAAAATAATGCCACTGGTACGTACTACTCACGCAAGGAGCTCGCAATGCACTGGCGCTAGTGCACGCCTGGCAGACAACGCGCAGCCTAGTGATCAATTGACTGTTTGATTGTTTTAGTAATTCCGGGCACGTCAACTACCAGGGTCATTAGTCTCGTAAGTGTAGTGTAAGTTTTGCTCGGGAGGTGGTGGTGGTGGTGGTGATATTTCCATCACTGTATGGCGAGATCCGGCGCCGACGTACTAGCGGGGTTTTCCCCAACAAAGAATCTCCCACCAGCAGGGAACCGCCCCAGCCGGGATAAGACCTAAGCTCCAGACCGATCTCTCTGAATGTGTGTTTGTGTAGCGCGTGTTAGTGTAAATGTGTGTGTAACGGATGAGGATAGGTCAAGGAAGAGGTAGGAAAGATCGCGCGCGGTCCGTGGCTCGTTTAGTAGGGTAATGCTCCGGCATTCGTCTGGTGTGTATCGGAGAAACCACGGAAAACTACTGATCAGAGCAGCCGGACGCTAGAATTCTCTCCCAGACAGCAAATGAATAGCAGCGATCAAGTTTCAACATGCGCACTGGACATGATTCAGCGAAAGGATAGACGTAGAAGGACTGGTGTTCTCCGAAAAGTACTATAAAAGAAGTATCAGGCAACTAATGCATCACATGCATAATTCAGGTATATAAAATTGCCGTGTCTTGGATATCACAGATCTATTGTCGATAATCTTAACTTATTGTCCATTTTAGGTAATTTGACGAAATAGAAGCTCATTTAAGTGCATACTTCAAAAATAGCGTTTAATATCGGAGTTTTGTCCAGAGGAGTCAGAATGGATTTCGGGAATTTTTATTTCTCGATATTTGAGTTAAAAAGAAAATCAAACTCAAAATCAATTAATTAAGTTGTATCGATGTGGAAGTACTTTGAACGTAAGAAAATATCAAATAAAAAAGTAATATAGTGTTTTGTATTTCTTTGAATTACTATAATTAAATTATTTTTTGATATTTTCTATTTGAACAAACAGAATCATCCTGAGTGTGCAACTTCATAACGGAGATAAATGTATTCAAATTTCTCTGGCTTTAGTCAGGTGATTCAATCAAGAGCTTTAAATTTCTTGTTTAAAAGCAGAAACGTTTGAAATTAAAGATTCTGATTGGATATGTGTCCCACATGCTATCTCGCCAAGTGTAGAAACATTTTAACCGGAGAATTATGCGTTTTTCATTCGCCACACTTGTGCGTACTCCGGGCACTGACCTTTCGTGTTCAGTTCGACTGGTAGGGCGCAAAGAGCGAAGCGTGTATTATGAAAAGAATGACATGATACAAAGAGAAGAAAACTATTTCATACAGGAACGAAAGTTTTCTGTATTGAAACTGAAGAACGCAATGCAGTTATGAAGATAACTGACGATCTTCTGTCTGTAATATATTGTTTCATTTTACAGTTTTCTTTTCTTTACCGTTTCATTTTACGGCAGAGCATTGCGGAAAATGACCTCGCAATCCGCATGTGGCCTCCGGGAAGCCAGTTTAATTCCTAGATTTACGCTATATACAATACGCTAGAATGGATGCTCCGACGCAGCTTGTCAGAAAAACTATGAGAGGTTTCCAGTGCTATTTAACCATTCAGGCTGACGTAACTAGCGAAGGAACCGAATCACAAGTTAGAACTGTTTTGCCTAAAGCTGCTAGATACGTAACCCAATAAATGTATCTACGATTTAGTGAACTCGGTATTTCGTGTTTATGAGATAGAGTTTTCAATGAAATGAATATTAAAGAAAAAGGACCTAATTCATTAACGGATTTCGGATGGAGAACAAATGGTGGCAGTTACCGCGTAGTTTGAATAAAAATGCGTTGTTAGTCATACGTAGCATAAAAAATGTGAAATTAATGAATATTTTTTTTATTTAAACTTCAAAGGTCTAAGACTGAACCATCGTTGCTGACTTCATTCGTCGGGATTAATTTCGGGAATTACCTACTGAAACCATTTCTAATTTATTTTCTTAAAAAATCTTTAATCTACAGGATTGTGGATATCTTTTTTCGTGTTAGAAAATAAATTATGTATCAAGAAAATTTCCAACCCAAATACATATATTCTTAAACAACAAAAGAAAAATTACCCTTTGTACCATAACAAAATCTATCTAGCATAACGTTTCTCTTCTCTCTTGAAGAAAAAAATAACAAATTAACAAATTCCAATACAATGATATAATGTTTAACACTTTGACAACAATATAAAGGGAGCATCAAGCACCGTTCGTAAAGTTCAACTTACATGTACTTTCTGAACACTCATTACAGCATTCACTTAAAAGGGGCTTGTTGCTCTGTGCATTTACTTCTTACTTATGATGGGTCTAATTACTGCTATTTACTCTGGAGAATGCCATGACACGCAACCACTGCACATACTCGTTAAAGGGGTGGCTTGGGGCACAACGGAAATACGGTCAAGAGCCTCCTATGTCTTAACGAACTTTATGCTTCTCGCAGTCATGGCAAGTTCGTGGGGAAAGATAAGGAGAAAAAAAATAGAAAAGACGATTATTACCGACCTCTTCTCTGAGCCTTGCATCACCCAACGGCGCGAAGCTCACGACGGTCAGTGGGCTGGTGCCGCCGCATATACGTCTCCGCGCAGATCCGCGTTCTTACACGGCAATGTACTGTAAGAAATGGACGCCCGTAAACCTAGGCGCCACAGCTTCCGTGTCCGTATCTCTTCTTCGTCCTAGCGCCACGCTCACCACCACTCCCCAATAGCACACTTTTTCCACCTTCCTCTATCGCGTCTCAAAGCCTTCTCCTTCCGTTGCTTCCTCT